GAACCACAAAAACAATAGAATGGAGACAGACAGACAAAAAGAAGTAAGACAGACAGACAGACAGGCAGGCAGGAACCACAAAAACAATAGAATGGAGACAGACAGACAAAAAGAAGTAAGACAGACAGACAGACAGGCAGGCAGGAACCACAAAAACAATAGAATGGAGACAGACAGACAAAAAGAAGTAACCTTGACAACAAAGAGCAGACCACATGATCAGAACGCCAAAAGAGATAAAAGTAAAAGTACATTCAGTATTAATGAATGCACCACACACACACACACACATGTATACACACACACATGTATACACACACACACATACACACACACACATGCACACACACACACGCGCACACACACAAGGAGTGTAAAACGTGTGAGGTGCAGAGGAGGAGGACATACAAAATGAAGTAACCTTGACAACAAAAAGTAGCCCACATGATCAGAACGCCAAAAGAGATAAAGTACATTCAGAAGCCTATTAATGAATGCACACACACACACACACACACATACACACACACACAAGGAGAGGAAAACGTGTGAGGTGCAGAGGAGGAGGACAGAAAAGTTGCCGCGTCATCATTGCAACACATGAGATAAGAAAAAGAAGACATGAACCATTGGGCTGTGTCAGCAAACTCAGAGTCAGAGGCTTATAATTATAAAAATATTATCCAGGTCAAAAGGACGCTTGCAGTCTTTGGATTTCTTTTTGAACTTTTTATTTCATTTACTTATTTATTTGTTAAAATCAAGACATGAGTGTGAACATCAACAGAACAACATTATGACAAGGTGACACAGCAGAATGAATAGGGGGGGAAAATAACAACAATAGTCTAAGGATTTTTTAACTCTTTCCGTACCGTACGGAACCACATATTATATACTTAAAATTTTAAATACACAGCGTTCCATTTACTAAATAGATAGATAGATCTAGAAAGAGTGAGCCAGAGAACCGGTACCCAAATGTGTAAGTGTAAGAGATAATGATTAAAAATATAAAATTATTTAATAATACCATCACATTGAGAACAAAGAAACCAACAAAAATAACAGAGTCTCAAGACCTAAGCTTGTACTTTAACCCTATCCGTACGTCTGGGGTCAATAGAAAAATAATACACGTAGTAGTAATAGCATAGTGCTTGTGGAAAGAGGCCGTATATTTGACTAACATTCAACAGTGAGCAGCAGCATAGAGGAACAGACTCGTCGTGTCGTAAATGCTAGACGACAAAGGATACAGGATTTTCTTTTCTTTACACTGCACACAACGTGGCATTGCAAAAATTATAACAAAAAATATTGCTTTGAAACAAATTCTTTGGTGGAAAAAGATGGCGAGGGGGGG